CACACACACACACACACACACACACACACACACACACACACACACGTAGGGAGGGAGGGAGGGAGGGAGAGAGAGAGCACACCTGAGGTGGGAGGAAAGAAGTGAGGAGAGTTGGAAGTATCCCTGGGGGCAGGGTGCAGGGTGGAGATGTGGGTTTAGGCATTAGGGAACAGAGAAGCCCCAGACTCTCACCCCTCCCACACCGGTCTCCGCCCTGCTACTCCCCTCTTAAAATTCCCTGCAAATTAAACAGCTGCCAAGGGCTCCAGGCACATAGGATCTCAGACACGATGGTCACCTACGTGGCAGCGCTGCTGCTGCCGATTCTAACGCTGATGCTCGCTTGGTGGGGTTGGGTGGTCCGCCGAGCTCAGCTGCAGAGAGGCTTACCCCCGGGGCCCAAGCCGCTCCCGTTGCTGGGGAACCTGCTGCAGCTGCAATCTGGACACTTGGACCGTGCGCTCATGGAGGTAACTCCTGCTGTGGGTTGAGAGAGCAGAACTCTGGATTTGTGAAGGTGCTATTGTGCTCAGAAGAGGGCGTAGAAATCCTGGTTCGTTGAAAGGCGACAGCTGAGAGGATGGGGAGCCTGGACTCCTGTGTCTGGAGGGAGCAGAGTGGGCCCTGGACCCTTGTGTCTGAGGAAGGAGGGTGGGGCCTGGACCCCTGGGTCTGAGGGAGAAGGGTGGGCCTGTGGCTGGATCCCTAGTTCTGGGGAAGGTTAGGGTCTAGACCCCTGTGTCTGATAGCTAGGGCCTAGACTCCTGTGTCTGAAAAGGGAGCAGGGGTTTAGAACTCCTCGACCTGTGAAATGATGAGGGCTCTGAGGTCTCCATGGAGATCAGAAGCCTGGGCTGAGTCCTGCTGAGCATCACTCCCCATAGCTCTCCAGCCGCTGGGGCCCAGTGTTCACCGTGTGGCTGGGACCGCGCCCTGCAGTGGTGCTGTGCGGCTACAAGGCACTGCGGGATGCATTAGTGCTGCAAGCGGATGCATTCTCCGGCCGCGGGGCCATGGCTGTCTTCGAACGCTTCACACACGGAAACGGTGAGGCCCAGGGTGTGTGGAAGAGAATGCTAGATCAGCCTGTCAGGCAAAATGGGCGGGGCCTAATAGAGAATGCCGCTAATGAGGACGAACCCTTAGGCCTGGGGTTCAATTGATGTTCACAGTGCAGCCAATAGGAGCCTAAGTACCTAAGCCATAGAGGGCAAGAGCTGGTTAGGGGAGGGACTCGCAAAGGTGGGATCAGGTCACGTGGGCTGGGAAAAGAGCAAAGCAATGAAGAAGTCCTTAGAGTAGCGAGCGACTGGACCCTGCGTGGCCAATTCGTTTTGGTTCTCACTGTAGGCATAGTGTTTTCTAATGGGCCGCGCTGGCGGACGCTGCGCAACTTTGCACTTGGGGTGCTGAGAGAGCTTGGCGTGGGTACGAGGACCATCGAGGATCGCATCCTGGAGGAGGCGGCGTGTGTGCTGAAGGAATTTCAAGCCACCATGGGTGCGGCCTGGCAGGGAAAGACAAAGTACCTGGCTGGGAGTGGGGTGTGACTGATGGACCGCCAAAATGCTTTGGGTGCAGTTCAAGATCCCAAGGAGCTAGTTAGGTAGAGGGGGGACCACAGCTTCTGTGTGAGGGTATTCAAGCCATCTTATTCAGAGGTTTGAGGGTAAAGATCCCCTCTGTAGATCTTACTACCCTCCCCAATGCCTTTAGGGGACCACAGTTTTATTACCCAGAGCTGCTCTCACCCCCAGGAGCTCCATTTGACCCCCGGCAGCTTTTGGATAACGCTGTATCCAACGTCATTTGTTCTGTGGTCTTCGGAAAGCGCTATAACTATGGGGACCCGGAGTTCCTGAGGCTCCTGGACCTCTTCAGTGACAATTTCCGCATCATGAGTTCTGCATGGGGTGAGGTGAGATATGGGCTCCAATTTCTCCCTTTTAGGCACAGCCTTATACTAAGCCCCAGGGGCATAGCCCTACCTACAGTGGCTCATTAAGATGGAAGTCTTAAGATTATAGATTGAATGACAGAGTTCTATAACCCACAAAATCCTGATTTAATCTCCCCATTGGGAAACCACAGACTTATCCAAGGCCCTATTAAGACTATTTCAGGCCAGACATTGGTGGCACACGCCTTTAATCCCAGCACTTGGGAGTTCAAGGCCAGCCTGTTCTACAGAGTGAGTTCCAGCAAAGGTGCCAAAGCTACAAAGGGAAACCCTGTCTCAAAAAACAAAAAAGAGTATTTCAGGAGGAGGAGGTGGCACATGCCTTTTGATCCCAACACTGAGAAGGCAGAGACAGGAGATCTCTTAAGTTTGCGGCCATCCTGGTCTACATATCGAGATCCAGGTTAGCCAAGTGAGAAATCTCAAAAAAAAAAAAAAAAAAAAAGAACCCTGTCTCTCCAGACATACAATATGTTCCCATCCTTCATGGACTGGATCCCTGGTCCCCACCACCGAATCTTCAAAAACTTCCAAGAGCTCCGACTCTTCATCTCTGAGCAAATTCGGTGGCACCGGCAGTCACGACAGGCCGGGGAACCCCGTGACTTTATTGACCGTTTCCTCGACCAAATGGATAAGGTACAAGTTCCTGCTCCCCTAAACCCCAGCATCACACCAACCAGCAGGCATTAGAGTGCCTCCCTCTGTCCACAGGAACAGCAGGACCTGGAAAGCCATTTCCAGGATGAGACACTGGTGATGACTACTCACAATCTTTTCTTTGGTGGCACCGAGACCACAAGCACCACTCTGCGTTATGGGCTCCTCATTATGCTCAAGTACCCAGAGGTGGCAGGTTTGGGAACTGGGTCCTCCCCAGAGCCTGAGTGAGGGGAGGGGAGCTGGGGCGGGACTTAAGGAAGCACACCTCACAGCTTCTAATGACCCCACAGCCAAGGTGCAGGAGGAGCTGGATGCCACTGTAGGTCGGACCCGTGCCCCCAGACTGGAGGACCGTGCCCACCTGCCTTACACCAACGCGGTGCTGCACGAGATCCAGCGCTTTATCAGCGTGCTACCACTGGGGCTGCCTCGGGCTCTTACCCGAGATACACACCTCAGGAACCATTTCCTGCACAAGGTGCCAGGGAGCCTGGGAATTCTGCACTGGGGGATGGGGTATAACATTAGTGTTCATTCGGAGATTAGGTTTAGCGAGGGCCTACAGAATCAGTAGCCTGGGACTCTTAATATCACCTCAGGGGCTGGGGTGTGGCTGTGGAAGCACTTGCTCAGCTCCTGCAAGGTCCTGGGTTAGGTGCCAAGCATGAGAACAGAAAGGGTCTTGGCAAGGTGCGGTTAACGGTCTGTGGGTTAACGGTAATCGTGTGTACCCCGCCCCCGCCCGCAGGGCACATTTGTGATTCCCCTCCTTGTGTCTGCACACCGGGATCCCACCCAATTCAAGGACCCTGACCATTTCAACCCCACCAATTTCCTGGATGCCCAGGGCGAGTTCCAGAACAACGATGCCTTCATGCCTTTTGCCCCAGGTCTGGATCAGGAGGGAGGGGACCCAAGTGGCTGGCACTGGGGTGCTGGCAGGAGGTGCTCACTCAACCCACACCTGCACCCATATCCACAGGAAAGCGGATGTGCCTGGGTGCTGGCCTGGCCCGCTCTGAGATCTTCCTCTTCCTCACTGCCATCCTGCAAAAGTTCCGCCTGCTCCCCGTGGGAAGTCCTGCCAACATCGATCTTACTCCACAGTGCACTGGCCTGGGCAATGTGCCACCAGCCTTCCAGCTCCGTCTGGTGGCCCGCTGAGGTTGGGCTCCACTACTCTGATCCCAGCGGCCCTGATCTCCTTAGCTGCCCTAACTGTCCGTGTAAATCTCTTTTCAGAGAGGAATACAAGTGTGTGCAGCTCTGAGGTAAACTTTTATTTCTTGGCTGGCAGGACCTCCATACCCATGCTCCTCATGGCACCTTCCTCTGCCCAAGCCGTGGCAGCCCAGTCCATAAAGTGCCACAGCCAAAGGGGTTGGGGAGTCACTTCACATTCCAGGCTGAAGGAGTGGGGAGGGAGTGAGTATGCCCCCCCAACAGACCTTTGCCAGCAAGAGGCCATGACTCACCTCAACCCCAAATCCTGCCTCCTCTCAGCTCCACACACAATGGACCAGACATGGCAGCACACAGGCCACCAGCACACTGGCCACTGCTTAGGTCACAACCCAGCCCCGCTCACGGGGCAGCAGAGCTCTCTCCTTGTTGGCGGTCCTCAGTGATGCTTGTGCCCTCCACACCACACAGCAGAGGCAGGCAAGCCAGAAGCAGCAGCAGTGGCAGGGAAGGAGCGGGCACTGAGGCTAGTGAGCTGCAGCTGGGCCCGGGCTGCCCTGAAGGCAGGGGCTGCTGATCCACGCAGCTCTGGGCTGGCCATTAGGTGGGTGGAGTTGGCTGTGATACAGGAACTTGGACACGTTTCTGTCCCGACGCTGAGGACAAGAAGAAGACAAGACACTGTGAATCACTAGGAAGGGACAGAGAAACCAAAAGAAACCTGGGAAGAACCTTGGGGAGAACACCAAGAAAAAAATGGGACTCAGGTTGGAGACACCAGGAAAGTAGGCAAGAACTGGGTGTAAGGGACTGAGGAAAGGCTGCGGGTGTGAGCTGGTGATAGTGCTTGCCTAGGGTGGCAAAGGCCCTGGGTAAGGACCGTGACTTGGCACCACATGGGGACTAGGAAGGACGAAAGATGAAAGCAGGTACCTAGCTGATACTTGTCTCTGGCTGCCGCCCGTTCCTTGGCATCAAAATACCAGACAGTGATGGCGTACCTGGGAAATCAGGCAGTCAGAATCGGTATTCTGCAGTTCTAGCTGCCACCTCTGGTGACACATCCACCCCTTTAGGTCACTTGATTCCAGATCCCACTTAGGCCCTCTCAGCATCTCATCACTCTCGTCACTCTGAAAGTTGGGAATCTAAGACATCTTTGGCACAGGGGAAGCAGCTAGGCACATTCCTCAAGTACCGGTCATACCTGGTGGCATAGGCTGGTTTCACCTCATGTGGGTTCCGTCGGTCAGACCAGAAAATGAGCAACCGGTCAAAGAGTGGCTCGATGTTGGCTACCACTGGCCGACCCTCAGGGAAGATCTGCAGCAGGCCTCCATGCACCTGGGGGCAGGCCAGATAAGGCTACTGGTCAAGCCTGTAGCCTCTGCCTTATACTGCACCATGCACCCACCAGGGGGCGCAGCGCCAGCACACATCACTTGCTCCTTCCCCCAGAGTCTACATTGCCATGGAGATGGGCAGGAAGCTACTAAAGACAGGAAAGGGGGTGGGGGGGAGAAGAGTGCAAGTCTGGGTGGGGCTAAGCAGACGGCAGCATTCCCGGAAAGGAGGGAGGGCCCACAGTCAGCTACAGAGGAGCCTGCAGACCTCACTGCCCTGTGAACTGAGAGGAGTAGAGAACAGAATCCCAGCTGGAATACAAGTATACCGTCCCAACCTCCGCACCCTACCTTAACATCCCAGTTCTGATTCAGGTAATAGATACAGGTGATGCAGCGCCCATCGCCGTGGGGATTGTCAACATGCCTCACGTACCCGAGCCCATTGCCTGGGTAACACGCCACCATGGCCTGGTAGAAATGGAGGAAGGTGATTTACTGAGACCAGAGGGACCCCTTGAGGAAGCAGGCTCACCATTCCTGTCCCTGATCTGTCCTGGATCATCTTAGGTTATGGGAGCTCCAGCCCAAGAGACTTTTCCCTAATTCAGCCACACTCCATCCTCAAGTTCATCCTAAACTCTTTGGCCTCAACAATCCCACCTCCAACCCCAGCCCAGAACCACAGCGACTCAATGTGTAAGCAATGGTTTGTGTTTTTAGAGAGATCCTAACCCTAGCCAAGTATAGAGGTGCATGGTGCACACCTGTAATCCCAGCTCTAGCAGGTCGAGGCAGGAGAAACACAGGTTTGAGGTCAGCTTGAACTACTCAGTGAGAGCACAGAATCTCCCAAGGGTTCTGAGATACAGAGGCCCTCCTCACATCAGAGGTTCTGTAAGGGTTCGAAGAAGGTGCAGCCTGGATTTTTTTAAAGGTTCCCTCAGGTAATTCTAATGTGAAGTCATGCTGAGAACTGCTACACTTGACTACAGAGACTCCAGCTACATAATCTGTCCCATACAAACGTGACAGGAACTGACCTAGAGTTCCAGCTCCAGAATCCTGCACACTGCTGCCAGCCCCCCCCCCCCCCCCCCCCCCCCGTGCCTGAGCAGGCCTCAACGACCCCACTGTAAAGTGGGGCTGATAAACACCTTCCATCCCCAGCATTAACTCCTCTGAGACAGGGTGTTTCTGACATCTCAGAGGCAGGCCTCTGCCTGGCTTGGTTTCTGTGGGCAAGGTTCTAGCTAGAGTTCCAGGTCCCCCTGCCTCTCAAGCAGGCAGACAGAGCCCTACCAGGACAAGGCGTGCAGCCACCTCTGCAGACCCAATCCACAGGGTCTGGTGTCTGTAGCTGAATGAGCTGTGGCACTGGGGAGGTAAATCAAGTTCCTTACTTCAGGTAACGCCACTTCACAGGCTGTTGTGAGAACGGAACTAGATTATGAATGTCTGCAAAGACACAGTGCCTGTTGCCACAGGAGAGAGACTGGAGCACAAGCTGAAATGCTATTTAAAGGAAAAAGAGTCCCTGGGCCACCCCTCCACCCAACCCCATTGAGAGAGTTCATCCTAAGCCAAACGGAGTAGTTAGCAAGAGAGCCCTTTGCTTTTTGCCCAGTCAGCAACCGTCTGTCTTGACTCAGCCATCCAGGTACCACTCTGCAAGTTGGGGCTTCTTGACAATGCGGTTATACTTTTGGGTCCGGTCTAGCTCAGCAAGACAAGCATAGAAAAACACTCAAAATCAGACACATCAATGTCTGCTGCCAAGACAAAAGGCTTACCCAGCACTCCATGAAGGTCAGGCTGATTCAGCCTTACATCCTCCTCCCTGCAAGGCTCCTCTCACCCATTAATCCCAGGGCTCACCCCACTGTGGATGCCTAAGGCCTCTCTGTCTCTCCTCTACACACCTGATCCACCACAGACTCTGCCACCATCTAAGGCTACACAGCAGCAGAGGGCTTCAGCACCAGGTGCAGTAAGTGAGAAGGCCCCTAGGGAAAACCCAGGCCTCTAAGCTCAGGAGGGCGAATCTTCTCTGCACTGCTCCTGCAGATGGGATGGCATGCTAAGCAACCACTCACAGGGGGCAAAGAATGTGGCTGCAGCCCTGGTGGCCTGGAATCAATGAGTCACTGATTAGAGATGGGCAAGTCCTCCTGAGCTGGGACTCCAATCACAGCTCAAGCAGGTTCTGCTCGCTGATCAATCACCTCACAGCGCAACCCCCCACCCCCGCCAAGAAGTACATTTCCCACCACAGGCACCAAGACCACCAACCTGCAGGGCCTCACCTACCTCCTCCCCACCTCAAAGCCTGCAAACCTGCCTGTGCAACTGTAACTGGTCCCCAGATCTTAGCACAACTGAGACCATGTTAGAGATACCATTTTGACCTTAAAGCCCAGCACACAGGCCCCGATACCTGCCGCCACAGTGGGAACACTCAGTCCATAGTTCTAGGAAAGTCCTTAACTGTACTACCTTGTCGTTTGGCTTCTGCAGTTCTGCTTCTTGATAATTGTGACAGCCAGTTAAATTCGACAACCAGAACATGCTTTTTGTGCATAAAAGACAGAGCTATAAGGCTCAGGGCTGCATGATCTGGGCACGTTCCCCATGCAGCTACTGGCCAGCAATAAAGCCTTTCTTTTTGGCTTTAAGAATGTCCACGTAGTGGTCTCTGGTGGGCTTATCTCCCAACACTATTGCTCAAGCATCTAGCTGACTATCCAAGAAGACCTGGGCCAAGCTACTGTCCCCAGGGAACTACATGCTGTGTCAAAGTGCTGCTCTGACCCTCACCCCCTTGAGGAAAAGCTTCAACCACAGGGACAGCAGTAGACTGACTGAGGAGCTCACTCTCCACCCTTCAAAAGCGGGAGGGGGGGGACGGGACCACTCTAGGATGCTGGAGTTACTGCTATTTGTAATAATGTGCCAAGGACCCTACCACCACCACACACACCATATCAGAAGCCAGTGACTCTACCAGACAGCAGGCCCTGTCTCCAAGGTGCTATTAAAGGGGCTAACCAAACTAGCTGGACCCTCCCTCCCTGGGGTCCCCTCTGCTCATCCTTGATGCCAGAGAGTCAACTCCTCCAGCTCCAAGTCCACGGAGAAGAGAGGGATAGAAGGGAAGGAGGAAGGTGGAGGAGCTCCACTCAGGAATGACCTGGGTTACTGCTGGTCAGGGCCACACTGGTGATCGGTGTCCTCACCGCCACAGATCACCCCAACACCCCACATTCTCACTCAGAGCACAAGAAGGGAAGTTACCCGTGGCCCTTGTCACTTAGAGCTTAGACTCTGACTCTTCTCCCTCCCCAATCCTAGCTCAGGCCCTGTCACCAACCCCATCCAATGGGAGGAGACAGCACAGGGGAAACAACCTATTCCTTCAACCCCGTTCCCAAAGTGCTAGTAGCCAGGCTTTCCCATCCTCTGAGGCTAAAGAGCTTAGACCCCACTCCCTGGGCACTCAGCCCTCCTGGTCTCCCCACTGACTTCCCTCCTGCAAGGAGAGTGGATACCAGTTGCGCTGCTGAGCCAAGGAAGCAACACTGATCTTGCCTGTACAGGAGCCAAACCCAGGGAGGGGCCAGCTCTGCTCTTCAGCTATCAAGTAACGGGAGGGAGAGGGAAGTAGGACAAGTTCCAGCTGGGGTGGGGAGGAAATAGGCCTGGGCCCCGGGGAGGAGGGAAGTGGGGGGACGACCCTGATCCCCAAGCCAGTTCCAGCCTGGAAAGAAAGTTGTACTGAGGCAGAACTCAAGACAGAAGCCGAGACAAGGGAGGGGACCATCAGGAGCACAGCCTCCCGCTCACAGGGGAGAACACAGCCTACACTGAGACCAGCCGGGAACCACTGCTGGCCAGCAGCAGGACACCAAGCCTCAGACTCACACTCGTCCATGAAGAGAATGGATATGTCAACAGACCAGAAAGGCCATGGAGGTCACGGTCTAGTCAGGACTCCTGACCCCTGGTTCTTGAATGGACAGCCACAAACTCCAACCAAATGTGCACCTTTCCTGAGAAGGTCTACAGCTTTTGGCAGATAATCTGAAAAGTCTTGGCTCCAAAAATATTAAGAACAACTGTTCTGTAACAAGAAAAAGGAATGGAGAAGAAACACATGAAGGCAGAGGGTCAAGGAAAGAGACCAGAGAAAAGCAGGCAGGAAGTGACAAATGGTCAGAGGATGAAGAGCAGGGACTAGGGCAGGGAGGAGTGGGAAAGATGTGGACAAGTGCCCTGCCAAGGCCAGCACACTGTCACCCAGTGTCACATCCAGGAAGCTGCTCCTCATGCAGATGCCAAGAGTCCACTCGGGGCAGAATGGAGACCAGGCCAGGTGCTCACCTAGACAGGCAGCACCCCATCTTCAGCCGAGGCTACCTCAACACCACCACCCTTCCCTTCACCTTCTGGGTCTGCCACCTGCGTGCCAGCAAAGGAGAACAGGTTTCTGCCGACATTAACTACTCTTGGTCCAAGGCAGGTTAAGAGTGAGCAGCTCTTGGTCTTCCAAGGGCAAGAACCACTGCCACCCCAGGCTGAGCTACTTTTCCAAAGCCCAGAGGGAGGAAAAGATGCAAGTGCCCATAGGTAGCTGTGGCCCCTCTGGTGGAGCTGCCTACTCTGTTCTACATAATCCCAGCTTGTTTCCAAACCCACATGCCAAAGCACTAGGCACTCACCGAGAAAGTGCCTTACCTTAGTGCGCCCATTGATGACGTAGTTGCCCAGCCGCCCCGCACAGTGGCGGATTACCGTGTCCACATGAGCCATGAGGGCACCAATGCTCCTGCAGCCTGGCTCGTGGCCTTCTACCCAGGCAATCTGGTCCCCACGAATGCTGCGCGGTGGGATCGCCCGCTGGCTCACTAGTTGCCCATCACGCAGACGCCCGCCCCACTTCAGGGCCTCCACCTCGGCCAGCACACGGCCACCCAGTGTTGCCCCCAAGAAGTTATCCTTGACGCAGATACCATAGTACCGCATGCAAGGCACAATATAGTCCAGGGCCAGGCGCTCAGGTGCAGAGGGCTGGGCCTCCTCCCTCAGCCTAGCACTTGCCTCGCCACTGCTACTGGTGGTAGTGTTGTTGCTGCTGCTGCCGCCGCCGCCATCGCTGTCACAGCCCACACCACTTTCCCCCTTGGTTTCCTGGTTCTCTTGCCTGGCCCACGGTCGCTTGCTGGGTAAAGGGGCATCCCCACCATCCTCGGCCCACTTCCGTTTGGGGGCCTCGGGCCGGGCCCCCTGGGCGGCCAGGCGCTGGCACTCCTTGGTGACCAGTGCAGCAGCGCCTTCACTCTGCAGCGGCCACAGCTCACCGCCGTCCTGCCCACCAAAGCCCTCCCGAAGGGGGCTGGCAGTGGCTGTGGTAGCGGTGGCTGTGGCTCTGGGGGTCCCGTTGCCAGCCGAGGCCTCACCAGATGCTCCTGGATGGTGGTAGGGGGGTAGCAGAGGGCAGGGCAGGTAGCTCTCCACCCCCATTCTGGCTCGGCTAGGCTCCAAGGACTCTGACACAGACCCTGGCAACTGAGGGAGAGCCTGATTCAGGGCCTGCGGTTGGCACGGGCTGTCCATGGCAGCAGTGTCTTCATCCCCCGGGCATGGAGGGCACGGCCCGGGCCCATGGTGCCACCCTCCTCCGCCTCCTCCTCCTCCACTGGATGCAGCCGAGGGCCGCTGGGCCTGGTGTGGGGCAGGGTGAGGCAGGGCAGGCAGCAAGGGGTCCTCTAGAGCCCTGGGGGTGCTCGCTGGTCCCCAAGTCCACAGTTGTCCCTAGGAGCTTGAGAGGGGACTCGTTGGGGTGGCTGAAAAGAGAAAGAGAAGGACTTAAGAGGAGTTAGGGACAAGCGGGTGGGAAGGGGTGGGGACAGTACCGCAGTAAGTAGGTGACAGACACACATCCACACAAACACACACAGGCACCGAGGCAAGGCAGGGCGCAGAACTTGAAATCTGAGAGGGAATGGCTGGCGGGCAGAGTAACCCAGGGAAGTGCGGAGGAGAAACGCTGCATGGGAGGCCCAGAGAGAGGGAGGCGATAGGCAAGACAAGGGAGACTAAACATAATCAAAGAGATCTGCGGAAGAAAGGCACGCAACAGGGACAAGTGGGAAACGGGTACCTGCCTGAGGGTCCCATCGAGACTCAGAGAAGGACACAGAAAACGGGGATGGGGGATCGAGGGTAAAGTCGGGGTTGCGGGCAGCCAGCGGGCACTGCCGCCGCTCAACACTTGCGGGAACCAGATCGCCTGAGTGGAAGGAAGGCCACGAGCCTGGGCAGGCGACGAAAACCGGGAGTCCGGGGACAAAGAGAACAGGGAGGAAAACAAGGCGGCAGGGGAGCGGGAGGGCCGGCGGGGTCGCCCTGTGCCCTACGGGAGGAAGCCTACTGGGGCCCGACACACACCCGGACGGAAGGGAGGGCCGGCCAGACAGACGGACTGACGGAAGGGAGGCCG